GCCTCAGGGAACACTTCTCAGATCCACAGCTCCATTGCTGCCAGGATGCCTGGTGAGCAGTTATTTCCAGGACATCTTATCGTGTCATAAAGGTCTAGTTAAACGCTCCATCTGATTAGCTCAAAACCCCACTATATGGTACAGCTGTTCCCTATAAACAGGCATATAAGTGTAACAAAAGACCTAGTTCACAGCAACCCAAAATAAGCTTTCAGTGTAAAAGGAGATCTCCAGGAAAGAAGAAAAAGGCTACAAGTTTCAAAGTACCAAGTTTACATCTAGAACAAGAGTCATATGGCATCTGTTGTGCTCTGAGGCTTTGTCATCTTGTTTTATTTTATTTCGCAGCAGTTGCAATTGTCCTTTGATTCTGACGGGCTATTGTGCTATTTTCCCATGAGTTCTCTTTCGATTTATGTAAAGGATTTGATTGGACCAGATTTCTTATGTATGTTGAAGTGTTCCTTGGTCCTGCTGTTATTTATGTATTTGTTCTCTAGGTTTTTTAAGTACTTGACAGGAGGACTCCAGGTACTGTTAACTGTCCTTTAAGAAGCTTTGACAAAATTCCAGTTCCAATTAGATCAAACAACCCAACAGTGAAGTCAACCTCATACATGTTCCCCATTTCAACCCTGTCCAGTGCAGCTCTCTTCAAGCACTGTGCCCTCTGCTCATCTCTTGAGGATGAGGACAATTTCTCTAAGACCTGCAGGAAAACAGCACCAGATGCCCAAACTTTCACATTTCAAACTGTTCCAGCACAGGTATTGCTGCTGGCTACAGCTGTGGAAATGGCAAGGACAACAAGAGAATACAGAGGGAGGGGCATCTGTAATGTGTGATTTCCTTTGGCACCCTGAGCTTTCATGCTATTCTTTCCAAAGAATACAACACAGTCACTTCGTACAATGCTGTCAAGAAATCTCTGTATTCAACAGGTGTTACTGGTCATCCATTCTGATGCAGCTGATAGCAGAAGATTTTGCAGACAGAAGAGGGTGATCCTTTATTAATAAGGGATTTCAGTAAATATTCAATTACCAAAAGTTCAGCACTTCCTACTGCTCCGCAGCCATTGCGCTTCATCACTGCTGCCAGTGCAAAAGAATCTTCAGAAATACTGGTGAAAGCAGAGAATTAAGGAGTCATATATAGTGCTTATAGCCACAGACTCTCCACAGGAGTGAAACCAGGCCAGGAGATTTGTCAGAGACAGGAATGGGGCAGCCCTTTGCTGTTGTAAGTCCAGAGGAACTGGTGGATCAGACTGCAAATTAGAATATCTTCAGGTGGGAAACCAAACCAGCTTTGAACTGTCTCTACATATAAACACTTTCTTAGCATTGGCTAGGACATGAATAAGACCAGCATCTGTAAAGAGGAGAGAGTCTTGTCTGGGTCAAAATTCTGTCTACCACATCTGGTGTTTCATCAGAGAAACAATTCTAGTCCCCTACCTCTGAACTCATCACGTGTAAGGGTTACCATGGGGACATGCTGAGATTGTGCCATTTTAACATTTCTCTTCCAGATTTCTCAAAATTTGAACATACGAACAAAGCCATCAAGCAACTTCAAAGCTGCAATATACCCCCATCCTGGCAGGCTTGAGTATTAGCTGCTATTTGGACAGTAGCTGTGGGAGCATTCGCTGTCCCCAGACTCCCTTTGGCCATGAATGCAAAAAGGAAAAATTTTTGGGTGAATGGCTCATAAATGCAGCTCATTTTCAGTGAGACAAGACAGAGAAGGAGGAAGATGTGAAATATTTAAGAGAAGCTTCTGAACATCATCCATAAAGCTCTACCTGCGCTTTACTTATGTTACTTTTTCAGCAGACTCACATTCATTAGTCTATAGCAAGAAGACAAAATTGACATAAAGAGCTGTGATCTAAACAGGTGTGAAGAAAGGTAAACAAGCCTGAGAGCTTACCCAGAAATGCTTGTGGCTTCTAATTATTCAGCCTTTTTTCCTTTCCAGGCTTTATCTGGGAGAGGAATTAAACAACAAAGAGAGAGAGAGGAGGGAGAGAAAGATGGCAAAGAGACAAGAAAAAGGGAGAAGAGTACTACAGTTAACTTTAGCTGGTGCAGCATATGACCTACGTCCTGTGGCAGGAATAGGGCTGAGTTGCTCTCCCCCAGCAGCTATGTAGTTGCTAAATATGACTCTGCCAGGACTACAAGTACAAAGAATGGAGGGGTCATCTTGGGAAAATTAAAAATACCATGGAATCAGTGAAATTTCTCCAGGAATACTGTAAGGATGAGGATGTCCTAGCTAAGTGGAAAATGTTCCACATTGATCATCAAGGTCATAAACTGAAGGTATGTTCACACAGC